AGAGAGAGAGAGAGAGAGAGAGAGAGAGAGAGAGAGAGTGTGTGTGTGTGTGTGTGAAAAAACGGACAAAGGAATGGAAAGCAAGAGAAGCTGTGAGTCTGGCCCTGGAGGAAGCAGAGTGAGAAAGAATTTCTTTGGAGCACAGGACTCATAGAATCATAGAATATCAGGGTTGGAAGGGACCTCAGGAGGTCATCTAGTCCAATCCCCTGGTCAAAACAGGACCAACACCAACTAAATCATCCCAGCCAGGGCTTTGTCACTGCAGAGGCCAACTGTAACCATGGAAACTGCTACTGCTGTTAGTTCCTATTGTGGTCAGGGAAACAGGACTGTGTGACATCCTTTGTAAACAAATAGGACCACACCTAAGCAATGCTTGACTCATCAACTTCTCCTCCTAACAGAAACAACCAAGCAATGCCCTCAACACTGGCTAACTTAGCCGTTTTCAAACTTTTTGAGATGAGCCCCTCCACCCTGCCCTCTTTGAGTTAGACTTTTTGGTCACTCCCCCTCAACCAGGCAAAAATAGACACAATACCTGCTCCTCCCACCTCGGGTTTTCTGGGTGGGGGAAGGCGATTTCTCTGTGGGAGGAGCCAGTGCAGGGCACAGAGGCTGCTGGGAGTGGATGTTGACACTGATCCACAGGTTGGGTGGCCTGCTGAGGTGAGTCAGGGGTGGAGGTGGCAGAGCTCCCTCCCTGAGCCCCGTTGCATGGGGCTGGTCCAAGCTGCCTCCCCAAAGGTTCCTCCATGCCCCCCTAGGGCAGAGCTTAGGGGTCATGCCCCACAATTTGAAAACCACTGGGCTACCTGACCACAAGTTTTATTGAAGAAGATAACTGTGTAGATGCAAGAGACTTAGACTTACATAAGGCGTTTAGCTTAGTACTGCACAACATTTTAATTAAAAATGTAGCTCTATACCACATCAACAGCGCACACATTACATGGCTTAAGAACTGGCTGACTGACAGATCTCAAAAAAGTAGTAGTCAATGGGGAATCATTGAACAGAGGCGAGTCTAGTGGGGTTCTGCCTGGACCAGGACTAGATGCTATTCAGTGTTTTTATCAGTGATCTGGAAGTAAATGTAAAACTGCTGCTCATAGCATTTGCCGATGACACAAGGATTGGCGGAGTGGTAACTACCGATGAGGACAGGGCAGTCATACAGAGTGATCTGGGAAGCTGAGGCCCATTCAAACAAAATGTTTTTGAATATGAAGTGGGTATTCACCCACGAAAGCTTATGCTCCAATACGTCTGTTAGTCTATAAGGTGCCACAGGACCCTCTGTTGCTTTTTACAGATCCAGACTAACACGGCTACCCCCTGATACATGACACCAAATGCACAGTTATGCAACTAAGAACCAGAAGCATTGGCCACACCTACAAAATGATTCACTCTCTCCTGGAAAGCAGGGACTCCAAAGGCTTTAGGGATCATAGTACCAAGCAGCTCAAAAGGAGCTTGCAGCGTGATGCTGTGGCAAAAGGGGCTAATGCGATCCTGCAATGTATAAGTGGGAGAGTAGGCGCAAGGAAACCATTTTACCTCTGTATACAGCATTGCGAGACAATACTGTAATACGGCATCCAGGGCTGGGGTCCACGTTTTAAAAAGGATGTTGAAAAATTGGAGAAGATGCAGAAAGGAGACACAAAAATTATTTGGGGACTGGAGAAAATGCCAGACAATGAGAGACTTAAAGAGCTCAGTCTATTTAGATTATCCAAAAAATCATTGGGTGATGACTTGATTACAGTATATAAGTATCTTCTCTGGTAGAAAACAGCGGGTATTTAATCCAGCAGAGAAAGGCAGAATAAGAAAAAGTGGCTGAAAGCTGAAGCCAGACAAATTCATATTAGAAATTGGGCACCAATTTTGAACAGGGAGGGTGATCAACCGTCGGAACAAACTACCAAGGGAACTGTGGATTCTTCATCTCCTGAGGTTTTCAAACGCAGCCTGGTGCCTTTCTGGAAGATGCTTTAGCCAAACACAAATTATCAGCTCAATCCAGGGGTAACTGGCCGATGTGAAATAGCCTGTGATGTACAGGAGGTCAGACGAGATGATCTAATGGTCCCTTCTGGCCATAAACTCTGTCTATGAACCACCCAAATGACCAGAGGACAGGGCAAACCCACTCATACCCCCAAGAATGAGACAGAACCATCTAAACCAACTAGTACCCAGGCAGAGGGCAGGCACCCAAACTCACTAAAACAGAGAGCTGGCCAGGCAGTGCCACATGCTGCCTCCTGGGCAGCGCTGTGCCCATCAATGGAGTGTCCCTAGTCAGCACTGCCCCCAGCATGCCCACCCCAGCCAGAGAACATGCAGCTGGAATCTAGCAGGGAAAGGAGACTGAGAAGGCACAAGGCCTTATCCCTGCACAAAGCATCCAGATTGAGCCCTAGGGCAGCCCCCTCCTCTCAGGGTAGATCCAGGCCTGCGGCTGATGGGGCTTTTGCTTCACAGCGGTGAGGTGACATTGTCAGTGGCACCCAGGTATGCCCATGGGCTGGGTGGGAGCAGCCCAGCCAGGCTCCCCACCAGGCCCAGAGGTCTTGCTGGTGGTTTGCTCTAAGGGGGGTGGGACTCGGCCAGGGCACGAGGTGTTTTTGTTGCGATTAGTGCAGGCAAATGTGCTGTTCCCTAGGTTGTGTCTGGGAGGCTGGCTCGGGAGGAAACCCACAGCGGCGCCCCTGTCCTTAGCGGGCTCCTAGGGAGCAGCGCCGGGGCTGGGAGGGCAGGTGGCGGCTGGGGGGGCAGGTCTCCAGCAGGGAACTCCGCTGTTCCACCACCCAGAGCCGCCTTTGTACGCAGCTCTGCCCCCTGAGCCCCTCCCACCGGGCAGGGACCGGGGACTCCCCGCTTTTTCCAACTTCACACGCCAAACAGGGCCCGGCCCCAGGAGCTCCTGCGTGCCCAGGAGACCGCAGCTCCAGCCTGGCGGGAGACACGCGGGCAAGGGGGGCTGGCTGCACGCCTGGAGGTGGGCTCAGCTCTCCTCGCCATGCCAGGCTGGGCTGCGCGGGGGGGCAGGAGGAGAAACCGGAGACTCCCTGGCCGCTCCCTAGGGCACTCCCCCGTCATTATGCAAAGCAGAGTGGCGAGGTGCGCGGGGAGGCTATAAAAGGGGAGCGGCCGCGGCTGGCTGTTTACTGCGCTTAGACTGAGCCGGCTGCTGCACCGGGCCGGCTGCGCTGCGCTCCCACGCGCCAGGTACCCGCGCTGCGCTGCGCTGCGCTCTGCACCGGGCCGGCTGCGCTGAGCTCCCACGCGCCAGGTACCCGCGCTGCGCTGCGCTCTGCACCGGACCGGCTGCGCTGCGCTCCCTGCGCCGGGCACCATGCGGCTGGCGGCGGCAGCCCTGATGCTATGCACGGCGGCGTGGCTGGGCCCCCGGGTGGGCGGCTTCCCGGCCGGCAGCAAGGAGCGGAAGGTGCAGTTCGCTTCCTGGGACGAGGTGAACGTGATCGCTCACGGGCTGCTGCAGCTGGGCCACGGGCTCAAGGAGCACGTGGACAAGACCAAGGGGCAGCTGCGGGAGCTGGGCGGGCGGCTGAGTGCCCACAACGGCTCGCTGGGACTGCTCCTGCGCCAGACCCGCGAGGCGCAGGAGCAGGGCGGGCAGCTGCGGGCCGCCGTGCGGGAGCTGCAGGGCAAGGACCAGCAGCTCTTCAGCCTCTCCGAGGCGCTGCGCGAGAAGCTGCAGCAGATGGCCGGGGACAAGGCGGAGATCCAGGGCCGGCTGGAGCAGCTCGAGGGCAAGATCCGGCAGGTGCTGCAGGGGCGGCCCTCGGAGAACCAGAGCGCCAAGGAGCTGGGCACGCTGCAGGTGAGTGCACCGCCCCCCTCCTCCGGCTGCCCGGGGGTCCCCTGTGCTCCTGTCCCCTGCCCGGGTTCCCCCCGCTGCTGCGCCGACCCTGCAGGGGGCTCTTTGGCGCAACCCCCGTATCACCCCAGGGGAGCGCACCCGCGCCCGGCCGCTCGCTGCTCTCCCAGGGACAGCGGTCTGGTGAGCCCCCGACCCGGCGAGGCTGACTGTCCGCTCCCTTCTCGCCAATGCCTTGACCCCGCTAAGCAGGCAGCGCGTCTGGGGGGCTGCTGCCGGGAAGGGGAGGCAGCCCTGGGGCCAGCGGGCTGCGCTGTCGGCTGAGGGCTTCATGCGCTACGTGCCGGACAGCCCTAGAGGCAGCAAAACCCGAAGTAGCCTGGGAAATTCCCAGCCTTGGTCTCGGGGTTGGGCTCGGCCGGCAGTGGGGACGGGAGTTGCGGAACTCATCCTTTTCTTTGTATTTTAGTCCCTCATGGATTCTCAGAACACGAGAATCGAGGAGCTTTTGCAGAAGATCAAACAGCAGCAGTACAAACTGGACAAGCAGAACCTGCAGATTAAAAGCCTGCAGAGCAAAGTAAGTTCCGCGGGGGCTTTTCCTGAATGCTAATAGCGATGGGAATAGGGAGCAGAGACTGCCACCAGCAAACGCTCCCGGCAGGCTGGGAGCTTCTTGAGAGCCTAATTTAATAATTCAGGACCCAGCCCAGGGGCTTCATCGCTGCCATGGGACGGTAGAAGGAATCAGAGCCTCTGTGTCATTTAGCTTTACAGGGCTTTAAAAGTGCTTCTTGTGTTGGCACAAAATATTGTGTGTGTCTGACCCAGAAGATCAAAGGCCACAAGTTGGAGCCTTTTATCCAAGCCCCCTCACGTTCTGAAACTGGGGGAGGTTCAGGACCAGGACCTGGACCTGAGGTGCTCGGCTCTGCCACCTCTTACTACTTTTGCAAAATAAACCCCTGGCTGACAGGGTTGTACCAAACCACAGCCACTCGGAGCCCCAGACCTGTTGTATAATCTGTCCAGGTGAGTTCAGACATGTAGGGGCTGTCCTGGAGCAGGCAGGCAGTGTCACCACTAACTGCTCTGGGAGCCATTCGACCAGCTCACCTTTGGATCAGTGTTTCAAGTCTGCTCAATGAGTTGCTAACTCATCCATGGTTTTGGCACAGGTCAATCTCTTGATCCCTCTGCATCTTAAGGACAACAAAACTCAGAGTCTAAAGTGGAGGATAAACCTGAAGAAAAGCATCAGACACACCAACCAAAGCCAAAACGCCAGTGTGGAACCTGCACAGCCACAGAGTGAGTATCTGTCTCCTCCCTCCCACCCCCTGTTAGCAGAGTCGTCCTGTCAGCTGTTCCAGCTACAGCCCAAAAACGAAAGGTTCAATTGTCCTGAATCAGGACGTGAAATTGGCTTTCATGGGAGTTGAGTGGAACTGGAAGGATCTGCTGTGTGGGCAGGGTCTGGCGCCAGGATCTAGCAGGGATCCAGGATCCAGTCGGGCAGGGATTTAAGGATTTTACAGGAGTGTTTCAGCCTCATATGGAGAATGCCCGTGGGAAGCAGATGAATTCTGCCTGAAGGTATGTAGCTAAATGGGTAAAGTGGCTGAATGAGGCTGGCAGACCAGGGTGGTAGCACTTGGTCATTGGTTTTGTGCAGAGGAGTCTTGTTCTATCGGGGGGTTGAAATGCAGCTGGGGAGTCTTCCTGTATCCCTCGGTGTGGGGTTCATCTGCCACGAGCGAAGGACAGGAAATAGATGGGAAGCTGTGGGTCTATCTACCTGCATCACTGTAGGGTCTGAGCCCTGTTCTGTGGGGGTGTTATGGTGAGGTGAAGTACTGTGGCTGTCCCCACTGGACAGAGGGGGAGTGAGGTGCAAGGAGCCGGAGGCTTACCTGGGAAGCCTGTGTCTGAGCAGGGTTTGAATCCCAGTCTCCTAAGTCCCAGGTTAGTGCCCTGACTGCTGGACAATTCCCCACATGTGTGTGTGCACACACTTTCATTGGGCCTGTGACCTGTGGAGCAACCTCCTTCAGGCCGCACAAAGAGCCTGGCTCTGCTTCCATCACACAGAATACTCCCACTGAGTTCAGTGGAAACAGGACCAGGGTGAGTGGCTTAGTGGCTTGTTGGGCCATGTACTGCAGGCTGCTCCCCAGACAGGAGCTGTGTGCAGACTAGGGAAATGACTAGGTTCTCCAGCTGGCTGTGGAACGGGTTTGACCCAAACAGGAACCATTTAGAAGGCTCTCCAGGCAGAAAGGCTGCAGGGGGGGTAGTTAGTTAGCACATGGGAAGACTGAAAGCAGAAAGTGCTGTTACCTGGCTGTTGCTGCCCCTGCAAGAACAAAACAAAGGGCCAGGGGCTAGGCAGAGAACAGAGAGCATAGGAGATGAATGCAGACTGGGAGAGACCAAAATATAGCGCACCACACATGGGGGACTTCCAGCCAGCTTTCAGTTGAGTTGGGTTAGCCCTCGGTCACACGGTGTTCCTGGAACCAGAGTCCTCTATATTAGGACAATGGGGAGCAAACTAGAGCACCACATTCCTGAAAACCTTTCCCAAGTCCCCCTCTGCCCTTGCCCTACATGGCTGACATGAGACTGGGCAGGGATGGTGTCCCTATCCTCTGTTTGCCAGAAGCTGGGAATGAGCGACGGGATGGATCATTTCTTGATAATTGCCTTGTTCTGTTCATTCCCTCTGAAGCACTTGTCATTGGCCACTGTCGGTAGACCGGATACTGGGCTAGATGGACCTTTGGTCTGACCCAGTATGGCCATTCTTATGCTCTTATGAGGGCAGCATCTCCCCACACCCTGTCTCTACACTGGGGCATACTGACTGTTGGAGGAGGTGGCAAAGACTGGTCAGGATGACCAAGAATGACAGAACCTTGGGTCTCTTTCATTGTGGAGCAGGCCATGATTCTTCTGTTGATGGCAGTGGTGGTTCCTCTCAGGACAAAGTTCCCCTTTTAGGCCAAACCTTGAGTTCCTCTTCATTTGCCTGATCACTTTCGTTGACTGGCAACTGTAATTCAATTTCCGCCCTGATTAGCAAGGAGAAGGAGCCTTCCGGCAAGTGCTGGCCCCAGTGTCCTCCCTGGGCTGTTTGCTCCCTGCATTCCTAACAGCCAATCACTCAGAAGGTTGGTGCTCAGAGCTGCTCCCTGCCTACAGAGAGCCAGTCCCCCAATGCTGCTGCATTGGGGGTCGTGTGGGCAATGAGCCCCGTAAGCAACTTCTTCAGAATGGCCCTTTTATGTACATCCAGGGAACACAAGTTAACAGACTAAGCATGGCATTCAGCCAACTGTGCAAAAGTTGAAGGTTTGAAACAACCTCAAGAGCAAGAGGTTTAATCACTTGCAGAAGGTGGATCATGTCTTCAGGCGCTGCATACGCTCTCCTCCCTGGCAGCTTGCCAAGTAGGCAAAAGTTAAACCCTATCTCCCAACAGTGCTGGGATTCCAAAATAATTTGGTTGGGGAAGGCGGGGTGGGGAAAGCAAAGCAAACAGTTCCTAGTAGGAGTAAAAGAGACACTTGAACAACTGAGCCTGGAATGCAATCCTGTGTTCAAGGAACAGTGTTTACTCTGCTTGACGGTGGTGACCTTCGCGTTCCATAAATACATGGCAATCCAAAGGGTAATTCTGCTGGGCCTTGTTGTTTTAACGTTCCTTTATGGGTTTATTTTTTTTTACATAAACACTTTGCTCTTCATTTTTACTAGCCCACGGGCTCATGCGCTTCCACCGGGGATTTAAAGCTGCACAACTTAACAATGCTAAGAAACTCAAGTCAGAACTACCTGTAGTATTTTTCTAAAGCAAAATGAGCTGAGGTTATGGAGTAGGAACATTGCTGCTACAGCCGGGGGAGCAGTGCAGTATGTCTGGCAAAGCCCGGGCGAGAAGGTAACTGTTCAACAGGAGCTGCTCAAAGAGGCTTGGCCCCAGCAAACAGCAATCTCTTTGGGGCAGCGTGGTGTGATCTGCCTGACTTGTGGATTGGCAAGAGATCCAGGCATCCTTTCTGCAGATAGTTAGGACAGATGAGAGAAGGAAGCAATGAGTAGTCCTGAGAAAATGCAGCATATGATCTCTTCTGGCCCCTGGGTCTATGTTCTAGACTGGGAAGCAAGCCCACCCTGCTGTAATTTCTGCTGACTCACCTGTGTCTGGTCCTGTGTGACACATCCACCACCCTGCTGGTCTGTCACATTGCAGAGCAACGTGAATCAGTCAGTGCCTGCGCCCAGCCCCATGACAAATTAAAGTAATGGATGACTCTAACAATCCCAGCCCCCTCCTCAACCCTCTCTCCAGATCCTGTTTGCTTGGCCCAGCAGAGTGAGTTGGGGCAGGATCTGGGATGAGGGTAGGGGAGCGAGTTAAGGGTGTTTTGTGGTTTGGTGCCATTTGTCACAACCCTGACCTGACTAAACAGCCCCTCTGGTAGCTTGCTCCTGGCTTGGAGTGGCCTGGTTTTGTCTATGAATGACTTGGTGGGACGTAGCAGTGATGGCCTAGCCCAAGTGCTGATGCTAATCCGAGAGGCCAGTGCGTGAACGGCCGCCTGTTCTAAAGCTGGCGTCTGTGCAGGCTTGAGTGGGGAGAGGTTACCCTGCTGCCCCTCCTTGGTGAATGGTGATTTCAGCTGTCAACCCACCCCCTCGCCTGTGCTCCGGGCATCTGGTTTCATGATGTTATGGGGGAGGGGGAGGAGTAATGTGCCCAAAGAGTCAACTAGGTAAAAGTTCAGACCTTAGCAAGAAAATGGCTCTTATGACAAAGTCAGGGTGCAACCCACACTGGTTGGGGGAGGGGGGAGCATGGCTGATCAGAAAGGCAGCACAGTGATTGGCTGGAAGGAAATTGGGTGAAAGTTAACAGCCCTTTCTAACCATCCCTCCCCCTTCCCCGGGAGCAGGCTTGCTTCATTGTTTTGGGAAGAAACCCCTCCCCCAGCGCGTTCCCAGGCTGGGCTCACCTTTCCCCTACTTCAGACTCAGACGCTGATGTCAGAGCAGGGAGGGGCGGGTGCAAGGAGGCTGCAGGGAGCCCTTCCTGGAGAGTGGTATTGAAAGCCTAGCCAGGGGTTTCCATCCCTGCAGCATCTTGGTGTCACTTGGGTTACCTTAAAAACAACCCCACAGTGTGACCCGGCTGGGTGGTGCTCAGTGGAGGTCGGGAAGGGCTCTTTTGTCTGCTGGCCTGGACACCTGGAGAGTGGCTGGCGCCGAGTGCCACTCCTTGCGCGTCCCATTGGGCCTGCTGCCCAGACACTAAGGTGGGAGAGGCGTTAGCGATACTCTATAGCATTCGGCTTGAGCTCTGACAGCACAAGCCCAGCATGGCTCGGGGCCAGCGCGGGGAGCAAATGGACACTCGGGGGGCAGGGGGGAGATTCCTGAAACCTCGCTCCTGTGGGGGCAGCAACAGAACCTTCTCACCAGCACCCCAAGAGATGGGAATGGATGGGGGACTCCCACTTCCCACCCAGCCCCCACTATTGAGGGGGAGAGCACCATCCTTCCCTCCCAGCTGGGGGCCAGCCCCCTACCTTCTGCAGCAGCTGGGAGGGGGTGAGTGGCTGGGCTGTGCTAAATGGGGGGGTGAGGTTTGCTGAGAGCATGCGCCCTTGCAGTTCCGCCGTTTCCAGAGCCTTCTGCACCAAACCAGACATGGGCTGGAGAACAGTGGAGCCAGTTCAGAGCCCGGTCCGGTGCCACCCCCGGTGCTGTCTGAGCTGGAGCCCTCAGTGCAAGGCTAGCTTCCCGCTGCAACCCAAGATCCTGTGTGAGGTGCTGCACGTCCCGCCCCAGAGCTCAGCTACGCTGCATGATGCAAGACATACAGTACCTTGCTTGACAGTAAAACTCCTCCAGGCACGGGGGGGCTCAGTGCTGAGAACGAGGTCCCTGCGCTCCCCAGTGGAGAAAGAAGGCATAGAAAGTGGGGGAAAGTTCATGTTTACTCTCACGTCCCCGCTGTCCCTCTTGAACTCGCGCTCACGGCAGCTGCACAAGTATCCAAGCTGCAGTTAGCCATACCCAAAGGAGGGGGCTGTCTTCGTTTACAGACATATATATTTTTTGTCCCTGCAGCTCAAGGGAACAAAGACAACATGTTTCAAAGCTGAATGCAAAGGGCAGTGTCCCAGCTTCCCCCAGGCAGCTACATTAGGAACAGAACTCGCTTTGTTTGGGGAGATGCCAGGAAAGGGGCTCTTGCCACCCGTTGCAGGCAGACAAAGAGCGGTTTGATTTTGTGGCTGTTCCTTGATGCTCTGCAAAGCTGGGTAAAGTCCCTGCGCATCCTGACACCTTCCTGTCCTTTCGACTCAGGTTTTATAACCGGATTCTTCTTAGGCCTGTTGATTGCTCCCAATGGACTTTTACCAGTTCTGTTGAAATGGTGCTTTGCTGGCAGTTACAGTAAAGCCGAGGCCAGAGTCCAGGCATCTGGGGAGAGGAGGAGCAGAACTTCTCTTTGCTTTACAATTAGTCTTGCTGATGCTTTGCAGGGAACGGTCAGAGCCTCTGGCCAGTGGCCTTATGGCAGCTGTGGGTTGGTGACTTCCCATGGGCCCTGGCAGGGCAGCCCCTCAGTGTCCGAGCCAGTCCTGGCCTGCAGTTGGGAGTCCCACAAGGTTGTGCCTGGTCCCTCACTTCCCCCCATTCATTGCTTCTGGGGGTCTTATGAGGGCTCTGGGCAAAAGGGTCACTGTATGCTGATGGTCTCTGCTCCGCACCTGCTCCAGTGTCAGTCAGCAAGCAGTGCACCAGGCCGTCCGGCAGCACGTCTTCGCTAATGCTGTGCGTAGCTGGCTCCGACTACAGCTAAAGTCCCATTTGAGAACTAGAGGGAACTTGCAAGTGGTTCGTGCATTAGTGGTAGTCGGGGTGATTTAGAACAATATTCTGCACCTATTGCCCTTTGCAAGCTTACCCCTTCCTAGCATCTGCCCTCCTCGTGTCCTGACTGAGCGTCCCCAGAGATATCTGGAAGCCGCACAGTGCTGCTGCCTGTTTGCCTCTGGTCTACAGACTCTGCACAGCTCATGTGACCTGTCTCACCAGCTCCTCCTCCTGAGTTACACACTTGGCCCAGTTCTCTGGTAGGCTGTAGCTGTCTATTTTCCTGGGCCCTCTGAGTCCAGTATTAACTTCTGTACAAAATGAAACAGAAGCCCAAGAGCCTAGAGAGCTGCCCTGGAAAATGTTAGGGCTTTTTATTACTTCTTTATATTGCCATAGTGCCTAGGAGCCCTGGTCATTGGCCAGCCCCATTGTGCTAGGTGCTGTACAAACAGTCTCTAACTTTAGCATTCAAACTGGTGATTAAGCTGGGCTCATTTGTAGATGTGTGTAGCCGCTAGGATTGTGGTGTGAACAAACCTGTTTGAGAGCAGCATGCTGAGACTGCTTCTTCTAAATTCCCTCTCTGCCTTTTTGCAGAGCTCCCGCTGGACTGCCAGCAGCTCTTCCTGGCAGGGGAGAGAAGCAGTGGTGTGTATCAGATCCAGCCCTTGGGATCTCAGCCTTTCGAAGTCTACTGTGACATGACTGCTGGTAAGTGAGGGGAGCACCACAGGCTATTCTGAGTTCTGCAAACTGGTCTTGCAAATAACAGAACTGAAATAAGTGAAAAATCTTTCACCTGCAGAAGGTGGCTGGACAGTGATCCAGAGGCGTCTGGATGGCTCCGTGGACTTCGACCAGATTTGGGAAGCCTACAGGAATGGCTTTGGAGATCTTAGTGGTAAGCAGATGGTGGAAGACTTTTATTCTAGCTTTCCCTGATTGGCAAGCAAATTCCATCCCCACACTGCCCCCCTTCCCAGAGGTGGACCAAAGATCTCCACCCAGCATAACACCCGGCTGGATGAGTGGGCACAGCTGGCTGAGAAGGGGCTGAGGAAGTTCACTACACAAGGGTGCATGCACCCACTGACCTCCCTAGGCACTTTGTGCACACCAAAGAATCTGGAGTGCTCTTAGAACTGCATGCTAACATCTTCCTTGATTTGCATAGCGCTTGTGTGTGATGCCAACTAATGCAAAGTTCCTTGTGTTTCAGGTGATTTCTGGTTGGGCCTGGAGAAAATATACCACGTTGTCCAGGAGAGAAGGTACAATCTCTCGATTGAGCTGCAAGACTGGGAAGGAAACTCTCAGCTTATTCAGTTCCTCTTTAGCCTGGGTGGAGAGAACACTGCCTACACACTCAGTCTCCTTGGACCTGTGTCAGGAGAGCTGGAAAATGCCCTTGGGGACTTCAGACAGCTGCCCTTCTCCACTCGAGATCAGGACAACGATTTCAAAGCTGACACTAACTGTGCCAAGCACCTGTCAGGTCAGTACTGGCAAAGGCAAGGTGCTGTGTTCCTAAGCAAGAGTCTGGTCTTTCTCCTGGTGGGGAGGTAGGTGGCAGCAGTCTTCCTCCATCTGCCCCAAGCAGCTTGGAGCCCAGCTCTCCTTTTCCAGTGTAAGACCCTCCTTGTTTCGGTGCTATGCAAACAGAACCCTGCTTCCGACAGCTTGGGGCAGATGGCACTGGTGAAAAACGGCCATTTGGGTATTTTGACTCTGACCTTGTCCCCTGCTTCACCCTCCTCCTTCTCCACAGGAATGGGACCGTGTGATCCACAGGGGGAGCTGTGCGAGCAACTCTAATGAAACCTGAAACCAGGTGATCTTCTCATGGTTCCAGGTTCTGTTACAAAGTCATAACTTGGCCCAGCTTTACCAGCTTGTTCCCTGTGACTCAAACTGTCCAAGCAACGAAGGAGGCCAGTTCATCCATGTCTGAATGTTTGACTTGTTTGAACTGTAAATGGAATACAAATGAAACAGAAAACCCGTGTGAACCAAAACCGTGGCATTTCCCACAAGGTTAGCTCTGCTAGTGGTGTAACACACCTACCCTGTCCATCCAGGAGGCTACTTCTTTCTCTTGGGGCTACCCGGGACTCAGCTGCTACAACAGTTCCACTTTTGCACCCCCTAGTGGCCAGAGATTGCACATGTGGGGCCTGTGTTCTCAAATGGGAGTGGAATGGTCTTGAGCCACAGCACTGGACTGGGATATCTGGTGTCAATTCCAAGTGCGCTTGCGTGTCTAACCCCTTCCCCCTATGCTGGGTGACACTGAGCAAGTGCTGCAATTCAGCCTCTATTCCCTAACTGCAAAATGGAGCTAATAACACGTCCTATCGCATCAATGGGTCTGCCCCATCACCTAGGGCTCATATGACAAGGATGGGGCTACAGAAGTATTTGCATGAATTTGGCCTCTTTGGTGGTCATGCAGGCCTAGTTGCCTGCATGGCTTGATCTCCTTCAGACCTGGAAGTAATGCTGGAGTTCCCTGAAGCATGGGACCCTCTGAAACTCCTGTCACATACACACTTCAGGTTCTTCTAACCTTCCAAAGTTCTGAGCAGACTGCTTGGAAGGGAAGGTGCAGCAATAGCTCTGAATCTGGGGTGATTTTCTTATCCTGTTATTTTATATCCTGTTTTTTAGCTGTGAAAATTCTCATTGGCTGAAATCTGTCCCTTCCTTCCTTCTAGGAGGCTGGTGGTTCAGCACTTGTGGCCATGCCAACCTCAACGGAAAGTACTTCCGCTCCATCCCCCGCCAGAGGCATGAGCGGAAACAGGGCATCTTCTGGAAGACATGGAAGGGGAGGTATTACCCACTGAAATCTACCACCCTGAAAATCCGACCCGCAGAGCTGGAAACAGAATCCTAACCTAGCTGCCACTTGAAAGACTCAAAGGAGCGCAGATTTGCAGCTCCGTCACTTGGTGTTTACAGAAACCAGCAACGCAACCCTCACAGTGACAGTTCAGAGAGGAACCTTTCCTCACATTAGCAGCTGTTTAGCTGGCAGAGACTAGCATGGAGTAATGCAGCAACAGGCTCTTCCTGTAGGTATAACCACTTAGTGTTACTGGGGTCCAATGAACTCAAAGGATGGGAGCTCCCAGAATGGGCAAGTAGCCCTGAACAGGGAGAAGGGTCACTGTGGTACGCACAAGCTGGGGGAGCAGTCGCAGACCAGCTCTGCCGCTGCCCAAGTCAATGATGTACAAAACTTTGTCCTAAGTCTTGGTTGATCCGTTACCTTTGCTGTTAAAGCCACTGTGCTTTCAAGGGGCTCACTTGCTCCCCGCACTGAAGCTGGGGAGAGGTGAGGTGAATGGGGTCCTCTTACATCATAGATAGAACAGCTGCACCCTGGGCCCATGTGCCACCTTAATCCTCTCCTCTCACTGGGATTCCCACCTGGAGGAGGCTCACAAAGCCCCCATGAGCCAAGAGGCTGCTGATACTGTCTGGCTTTTCTTCTAGGATAGCTCCCTGCTGGGCTCTGAGGTTTGGAGCTGCAGTAAAGTGCTGCTGCCAAAAACCCATCCCATTTCCCCCAGAACAGCTGACTAGAGACCCTCCTCCTCTGCCCCACCTCCAGCCGTGGCAGGTCAGTTACTCGGCAGCAGCAATAGAGGAAGCAGCAAATGTAACTCATGTCTGACACCTTGTTTCTCTTAACTCCTGCCCAGCTGCCCCCCCTCTCCTCAGTTACTTAAACACCATTTGACTGGTTCCTCCAAGGGAAGGTTCTGGGGGCCCCTCTTGAGGAATGGGGACTGAGGTCCATCCAGCTTCCTTCACCCTCAAAGATTACCTGCAACTCCTCCTTCCTGGCCTCCCCACCTGGGAAGAACAGTTTCTTCCTTAGAATTTCACCCAGTAATTCCTCCAATTGCCTGTTACCAGGAGGCCAGACTAGATCATAGACATCCCTTTTGGCTCTGTGAATCCTGAGCTTCAGAGAGAGCCTACTGGTGCTGCTCTGAGTCAGCTAGAACAGCCTCTAGAATGGCATGAGGCATAGTCTGCCCTTGCTGTCCTTTTGGCATGGGCCCAACCCTGCCTCTCCGCCCTGAATTCACAGCAAGGGATGTGCTTCTCCTCCATCACCTTATCCTGGAGGTTTAGTTTCTCCTTCAAAGATTCCAAAATCCCTGTCCCCTGGCTGTGACCTGAAATTTAAACAATCCTCCCTGAAAGGTGAGGTACAGTAGGGTTGCCCCAAGATGCTGGGAGCAGCATCAATCACACATGGTGTCTGCCCCCGAAATACTGCACATATTATTCTAGTATCTTCAGTGACTGGATTTGAGGGTTTCCCAGAGTGTCTTAGAGGAGGGGAGCAGGTGTGGTGGGATGCATCTGATCTTGGGGAGACCCTAGGTCAAGTGATAATCACTGAAACTGTTACAGGCCAAGTTTCCCTCTTGGGTGTTCCCAAGTATCCTGTCCTATTTGAGTCATATTGACTGACTTGCTAGAGCTCTTAGCTGCTGAATACTGTAAATAGTCATTTGTAGAATGCTGGATCTTTTTAATGAATTTACTGTTTAATTTGTTTCTGTATTTAAATTCAGTGTTAATAACAATGTGGTGTAATTTATAAATGTTGGGTTTGAAAAAGATCATCAGTAGTTTGTGTATTTTCAGCTCTAACCTTTTTATACTAAAATCTGACTTTCTGCAGATGTCTTTTAATAAAAAACCCACCAAACCAATCGATATCGCACATGTGTTCTGAGTTCTGTCATATGACTGCTAATGAGGTGGTGGAGGCCACCTGGTGCACTGCTATGTAAGGGACTCGCCGCTAGGTCAGTTCTGGTGTTCACATGTTAAAGGATGTCAGACAAAACTGGGGAGAGCTCAGAAGAGCTACAGGGATGACACGGTCTGGAAAACAGGCCTTGCAGTAAAACTAAGGAAGCTCAATCTGTTTAGCTTATTGGAGAGAACATTAAGTACCAATGCAATCCCCCCATAATTCCCTATGCAGGGAGGAGATCGCTCCTATCAGAGGGCTGTTTCTTCTAGCAGCCAAAGGAAAAATAAGATCAAGTGGCCAGAAGCTGAAGCTAGACAAATTGAAATGGTCAAACTTGAACATTGCTTCCAGTGGAGCCCCTTTTCAAGAGCTGCGTTGGATTCTCCGTCACTTGGTGTCTCAGGCATCCAATCTCTATTTAAAAGGATAAACTCCTAATGATTGGACTCGACACAAGAATTGCTATGTGAAATTCTCTACTAGCCTGGAAGTGCTCATACAAACTATGCAACGTACACCTCCCCATACACCTTATCTGTGCCCCCTTGTGTTCTGAAATAGTACCTTGGTGGATAGATACAGAGGAAAAAATGGTGTTCATCTAATTCAAAACTAAATTGGTCCCAGCATGTGTTAAGATGTCAGAGGCCCTGTGTGCTATGTTCATTGAAGTAAGATGCTCCTACGAATAAAGAGCAGTGAAATAACCGCACCCTTATCTGTTCATTTCTGGATTTTCATTCTGTGGCAGTTGGAATAAATTTTCCAGCTTTACTCTCCAACCTTTATTTCCAGCACCAGCCAGAAATAGTTCCTGTTGTGAGCTACTGCCTGGCACGGGGGATCTAATGTGCAGAAATTGGCTTTCTGCAAATCTCCAGCCAAAAGAGCAAAGCTAACAGACAGTACAACCTCTCACAAAAGACTAGCACCAGGAAGCTTGCAAGCTAGCCAAAAGAACTGACCAGTTGAACTATCCCTGCTGTTCTCACTTATTCCTTGGTCCTGATCTACCCTATGGTAGATCTACCCAATTCCACTGCTCGCTGTGAGGGATGAGGCCCCGTAGGCAGAGACCATTCACAAATTAAGAGTGTTACTGGGCCTTCTTTCTCTGGGAAATTCCACTCTTGTGACAGATATTAACAAGGAAGGGGAAGTACTTGGACTCTTAACTGGAATTCCCTCTGAATCCTCCCTCATCTATTTTCCAATGCATGCTTTGAATTCTGATTTCAGTTTGATCTTCAAGTCCAAATGAAAGAAGAGGGCTCCCTCTGGTGATGAGAGAAATGACACCACATGCAGTGCTAATGAGGAAAGGGCAGTTTCAAATATTCCCGTTACCAGGGATGTGAAATGCCCCCTTCCCAGGAACCAGGCCAGCACCAAGTTACTGGTTGTAACATGGTATCTGATGCTGTGGCCTTATAACAATTAATAATAAAAAGCATTTATGTAGCAGCTTCCATCTAAGGACTCAGCGAGTTTATTTGTGCAGCACAAGAGTGTCCTGAATTCTAGCGCCCAGCTCCCCAGTGGGGCACAAAGGTCCAGCGCCTTGCTGGAAATAGTTGCCCTTTTTCTCACCCATCCTACCTGTGAATGGACTACTGTTCCCTCAGAATAGTTTCTCTGCCTTGGATTGAGAAGTGTTTAGCTGAATGGCAGCTATGCTTAAAAACCCCACAAGAATTTAAAAGTGGTAACAGAATCTAGGTCCAGGCTTTAAAATGAGTAAAAGTGTGTATCTGAAAATCAATTCTCCTTCACTCACCTGCCATGACCTCTGTTCAGGTCCCTGCGTGTCCCCTGGCTGTAGAGCAGTACATGGGCTGTCCTATGATAGAGAGGTGGAGCATGTGGCAAGGGGAGGTGCTTGTGTGGAAATGACCACACAGAGGCCTCAATGAGTCCTGAGGGGATGTGATCTCATGCAGCACAGGGGTGATTAAAAGTGCAGTGAGAGGTGGGCAGATGGGAGTGATGTGGGGCTGATAACTAGAACCTGTGCAGGTCAAGAACTGTGCGGGCCTCAGAGTCAAGGCTGCCTGGAGTCAATCGGCTGGCCTGGAGCCAGTGGCCCCAGACAGATCAAGGGTGACACCGGAGTGGTGTGTGCCAGACTACAGATGGATCAGTGCTGATGCCCTGGTGTGGCTCAACAATGCAGCTGGGCTGGGAGTCAGGAGCTCCTTGGACTGGGAGTGGCATGAGACTGATGAGCTCTCCCAGCCCACTATTAAATTGGGAGGATTTGACCTAGCTAGGTAGGAAATGTGGTTTGCTTATATACCACACACTAGCTCCTGACAGTGCAAATACCCCACACAGCATGGGAGGGGTCTTGGATTAGCTCTCACAGCCATAGTAACCTCTTTGGCAAGAGTGAATCATAGAATATCAGGGTTGGAAGGGACCTCAGGAGGTCATCTAGTCCAACCCCCTGCTCAAAGTAGGACCAACCCCAACTAAATCATCCTAGCCAGGGCTTTGTCCAGCCAGGCCTTAAAAACCTCTAAGGAAGGAGATTCCACCACCTCCCTAGGTAACCCATTCCAGTGCTTCACCACCCTTCACCACAGTGGTAGGAGTGGACCATGCTGTAGCCTAGAGAAATAGCCGCAAAGAAAACAACTGTTGGATCAGAGAAATGACTGCTGGGGGCTACATATAAAGTTGAACAGGTTTAATTCAAGGTGTGACATTAAACCAGGGGTAGGCAACCTATGGCACGCGTGCCAAAGGCGGCACACGAGCTGATTTTCAGGGACACTCACACTGCCTGGGTTCTGCCCACTGGTCCCGGGGGGCTCTGCATTTTAATTTAATTTTAAATGAAGCTTCTTAAACGTTTTAAAAATCTTATTTACTTTACATACAACAATAGTTTAGTTATATATTATAGACTTATAGAAAGAGACTGCTAAAACAGTCTAAAAACGTTAAAATGTATGACTGGCACGCGAAAACTTAAATCAGAGTGAATACATGAAGAATCGGCACATCACTTCTGAAAGGTTGCCGACCCCTGCGTTAAACCAACTAAACCAGTGCAACTTTGTGTGTGGATGCTCTCATCCTGCTAGCTGTAGCTAAACCAATATAAGCCAGGTTTAATCCAAAGTAAGAGTGTCCACACACAAAGCTGCACCAGTTTAACGAGGTCAGTTTAAATGTTGCTCCTTTAGTTAAACTGGTGCAATTCTGTGTATGGACGAGCCCTGGCTCCCTGCTAGTCACGAGAATGCAGCTAAAACACAGGAGGTTTGTGAAGATCCTGTTCAGAGGACCATGTGTATGCTGGAGCGGTCATGTCAAGCAGCCATGATAACTGCAAGCCCAAAGACTTGCTCCTGCTCTCCACGGGAAAGGGCCAGCCCAGAACCAGGGACGGTAGGACATCCTGTCACAGAGAAACTAACAAGTTGAATCTGACTCTGGTGTGAATCCTGGAGAAACTGGCCAATTTCACAATAACAGTTAAGTTCTCCACCACTCCACCCCTTTCAAGGAGCCCTGCCAGCTCTCCTCAGCCCATTACAGCCCGACCCATTACCAATAACCATAAGACCATTTTCAAAAGTGGCCTTTTGTTGTGTGTGAGACTGTTTTTGGGTGATCAGCCTGAAACACTTGAAGCCTGATTGTCAGAGGCGCTGAGCATTTGCGACTCCCATTGACTTCAACTGCCATTGTGGTGCTCAGCACTTATGGAAGAAAGGCCTTCGACATCTCAGGGTGCGCACCCAAAGGCAGTAGCTACTTTGTAAAATTGTGGCCTAAATGTCTTCTGGTGAGCTGCTCTGTGGTCTGGAGGGCCCTTCCCCTTCCCAACTCATTTTGGAGGAGTCTGGGGGCAGCTCCTCCCTCTTGCAAGGCCTGCTCCCCACCCCAACCCCCTCACCTAAGCTAGAAAAGTCATTATTATGGTGCCACACAATGGGTCTGCCCTCTCATTCTGCATTGGTGGGCCAAGAAGTAGTCTGTGCCCCATGGCTGGCTCTGCTACAGAACCAAGAACAGGGGTATAGAGCCTGAGACATTGCAGATCTCCTTGCAGCAAGGGGCAGAGACTGACCCATTACTGTGAAAATCTGGAAGCTTGGAGCTGATGTGTAACTCTCCATGTCACCAGATGGTGCTGCAAAGTAGTTTTCCTTCAGGATATGGTTACCATTTTCACACATGGTACCTAACGTTAAGCACCTAAAGCCACTGGATTCTCCGAGAAGCTGAGCACTCACAAAACTCACCGAAGTCCAGGGATCTGTGGGTGCTCAGCACCAATACAAATCAGGCCTTTTTAGGGTACATTCCTAAATACAGATTTAGGTGCCTAACCTGTAAATGGTGGTGGCGACCCGTAATCGCCTCAGTGTCCCTATCTGTGAAATGGGAATAACTCTACTTACCTACTTCCCGGTGATGTGATGACACTTGTAACACACTTTGAGATACTTGAACAGAAGGTGTATTCCCAAAGAAAGATTCTATGTGCTCATTGTTCAGGTTCCTAAGTGCAGTTCAAGACAAGACAAACCACGATAAGTATCACTAAACAAAAACAGAGAGCCGTTAAAATCCATAGAAATCACAAACTGTAGCTGCATAAGCAATTCTGATACCACCTGTTCACACACAGAACAATCCTCACCGAGCAGCCCAAGCACCGATGCCAGGTCCCCTCGACTGCAGCATCTGAACACCTCCCCAACGAACCACTATCACAATTTTACAGATGGGGAAATGGGGCAGTGAGAGACTAAGTGACTTGCCGAAGGTCAGGCAGGAAGCCCATGGCAGAACAGGGAACTGAATCCAGACCTTCAACATCCCAGCTTAGCACCTAACTACTGGACCATCCTACCTTTCACAAGGGTTCACAAAACCAAGTCTGATTAAATATCTCTTCCCCTCCCACTTGCTCAACCTTCAGTCTCAGATGATATC